CTGGGGGTGAGCATCTGCCCCTTTGATCATGTTCTCTTCCTCCCTACCTTGGCTACATCTCTCTGGGCTTGTCTACATTCCTGGCTTTTGCCATTGGGGATGGGAAATCAATCCATATGATTTAGGGAGGTGTCCTGTGCTCCTCACAGTCTTGTGTGGGTTCATCCGTAGCGCTCGTCTCAGCTGGGCCCAGCAAGGTCACAATGCTGGGCTGTGACTGACACACGGAGAGGAAACCTCGTGGAGGATAAGGAGAGGAAGAAGCATGAGGGGAGCAATTTCTCATCTATTGGTTAGTCAACCCTTCAAACCCATGTGTTTGCAGTTTAAAGGTGTCCTGTGGGATTGTTTTAAAGCCCTGATAGAATTCCAGGAAGGTGACACTGGTTTCCATTCCCTTGTCAAAAATAGCATTCCACCTCTTGATCCTGATGGAGCATAAATGGATCAGGAGGTGGCCATGGACCCTCGATGTAAAAAGCTCCAACAATTACCAGGAGAGAATTGGGAAATACGTAATAACAAAAGTAACACGAGGAAGATGAGGACATCGAGCATCTTATCGTGCACCACTGATGGGGCTGCAGGGTGCAACAAGGACATGGACATGGCTGACCAAGAGCAGTGCCAGGAGACTGATGGGACCAGAGTTCCCTTAAAACAAGAAGTTGACAGAGCTGAGGGCTCTTTCAAGCAGGAGGAAAGAAGGCAAATGTGACATGATGCCATTATGCCGTGGCATGTCCTCATTGATGACACATCAGTTGTCCTCAGGGTTGTTTGAATCTTCGACGTGTCCTGAAAGGCACCAGCAACAAGAAAATGGTCACTAATTCTGGCAATTAAAAGCTGCCACCAAGGTCAGATGGACAGACCTCAGGGCCAGGACATGGAATTGCAGAATTGCATAAAGGAAAACATTCCCCACCTCATGACACACCAGGCTGGGCAAGGCAAGAACTGCTGCCCAAAAAATGCCCCAAGGCCATGGGACAAGGCTGTCCCACCCCTTCAGGACCAGCATAAAAGCCAGCACTGAGCCTCTGTCCCTCACACGCTTCTCCTGACACCTTCTCCTGCTTCTGCTGACCAGGTGAGCCTCAATCCCCTGACCCTCCTGCTCCTGCCACCCTGGTCCCTCTCTGCCAGCACACTCAGACCCAGCCTCAGGAGATCTCACACCTCCCCATAGCCCCAAAACAGCCTCCACATTCCCTCATCTTCCTGCATCACGGACCCTCACACCCCCACACCCCTGCCCTGCCTCACCCCCCTCTCTCTTCCAGGGATCCTCCACACCACACCATGGCCTGCAACACCCTCTGCCAGCCCTGCGGACCCACCCCGCTGGCCAACAGCTGCAACGAGCCCTGTGCCCTGCAGTGCCAGGATTCCCGCGT